TAACTATAGGCCAAGGTCTTCTTCGCACAATTCAGCAGACAAAAGTCCGAGGCAATCCTCCCTCGGTATCTGGTGAGTCTAATCTACTAATCCCTTCACTCGCCTTCTTCTTCGAAACTCACTTTCCCTTTATACTCCTGTTCCCAACCCTTCCTCCTTGGGTGTTTGTATCATTTCATCAAGCCTACTACTTGCACAATCCACCAGTAGTGCCGGGATGGGCTGGTTCTGCTTGCTTCGCGCTTTTTCATTGTGCCCCTTTGCATCGCTCTCCGCCGTCCGTTGGGCTGGGTCTTGTTTGCACCGACCACACCCAATGCTTGTCTGTACCTTTGGCTGGCTTCAGTCGGCCATTCCTAAGAACTCATGCGGCTAAAGGAGTCTGAGGTGTTGGCGTTGGCGTTGGCACAAGTAGAGCATGTTTCGGTGAAAACAGCGGCTCCACCGGAGGCTGAGTGGCCTGAGCGCAGAAGACTGGCTTCTGTCCACTCTCGTGTTGCTGCCCCTTATTTACACTGTCGATGCCCTTCTGCCTCATGCAGGCCATACATTTATGACCAATTCTCACTTGCCCATCTCTGCCCATTTACACGGAATTGCATAAATATAAATAATTAAGCATCCACATCTATTGAAACGGCGAGAATGTATTCATCAATTTAGACTACAAATTGCATTATGCTCATTCTGGCTGCTCGTGCATCCCGTCGGTCATCATTTCACTTGGCACGATTTCACAACCGTGTTTGCCTCAAAACTCTGGCTGATCTCTCTCTTTAGTTGGTCGGAGGAAACTGCGTGAATTGAGGCTGTTTGCGCTTGTTTGCATATTTCTGTACAAGAACCTGATGCAAACGGCTGACAACAAAAACAATTGCAAGCTCAGCCTGCATTCGGTCAATCGGTAGCGTTTTCAACTCCAGCACAAACAAATAACGTCTGTAGCTTGACTTCATTTTAAGCATCGTTATGGGCAGATTCTCCTACAAATCAGCATTTTGTACTGGCCATCATGTTCTTCTTAAGTCCACTTATCGTGGGTAACGAGTATAAGAAGCTTCTAGTGACCATTCTATAACCTTTATTTATGATATAAAGCATTCGAATATTAGCACATTTGCTGACGATTAAACCTTGATCTTTTTTTGAGCCTTATTTGAACGCCAATCCTAAACTGTTGTCCTTGTTAAGACTAAGCCGCATCATCCATTTCTGCCGCCATCCCCCCGGGACGTCATATAAAAGTTATAGGACAAAAATGTTCAATTGAAGTAGTTTTATACTTAGAGTAGCTAAATATTAACCGTTTAAGGTGGGTTTCCGAGAATACTACTACTAATACTACTACTACTACTCATAATAATAACAATATAGGTATTTGATTTTTTCACAATCAGATGAATATGCCTCATTTTTCCGTTTAATCGCACACTTAGTCTTGCTTTTCTAAAGATATTCTCATCTCAACCGAAGTGGACTCGCCTAAACTAGCCTTGTTAGCAGCCCCAGCGCGACTCGAGCCTGAGTTGTGGTAATGCAGCGTGTAATCTCGGCACATTAACCATTATGCCAGACTGCCAAGAGTTCCCTAAGGTCACAAGACAGAAGTGCACTCAAATCAGGCCTATGCCTTTCCCATATCACTTTCTGTGATGAAATCGTTGCTAAAACTGGAAGGAAATGTGAGGCTTATTCGCATGATTATGGGTTGAATACTTTATACATATTTGCTATTGGTAGTCTCAAAAAACTATTTATAAAATGAAAATAAGTAATCGAAGATATGGTTTCAGTCTTCTTTCGGTGTATAGAAGTGGGTTGAGCTCGTTTTTGCAACTTGTCCTGACGCACCTTGTCCGAAGTCCTCTGTCATGGTGGTTATCACAAGTCCCAGTGTCAAACAGTAGACTTTGTACATTCACTTTACTTGTCTCTGACGAGTTGTAGCTTGGTGCTGAGAATGGCAAGACTGACTGATGATGCCGGCGAAACAGCTGAGCATGTACTAAGTCCACGGTCTGACCCTGAAAAATATGTTAACTACTAAGGTAGAGGACTTCGGACTCGGTGGTTCAAACTAAACCGGCCTGACGACAAAGTCAAGTTGCGAAGACGAGGAAAATAAGTGGGTTGGTCGATTGAAATGGCAAATACCACTTTTCTTCATTTCTCGAGATTCACACATACCCTTTGACCGAATGGCACTCGTGGCAGTGGGGCTTAGTGGTTATGAAAAAACGAGGTTTCGAAGAATGCCTTAAGGTTATGTTGTGAAATGGCATCTCAAAAAAAATTTTGTTTGGAGGAAATATGCCAAGCTCAGTACATCTTTGCTCTATTTCTTAAGGTATGCATTCTTCTTCTGGTCATATCTGTCAGTGCGCTACAGACGAAAGCTTAGCACAGGTTCATCGGGCTGGCAGGACGGTGAGCCGAGGACTTCGTGGCAAAGTACAACAGTCTTCACTACGTGGCATTCCTCTTTCGGTTTACAGTGGGCATTGCCACAACTTCGGTTAAACTCCCTCTAAAGGGGCTGATGAGAACTTGGCGAGGTTGGAACTGTAGTCGGCTGTGTAAAATTCAAATGAAACGTGAGGCCTACTCATCAGATTGTGTGAAAATTCCGGTACCAGACCTTAAC